TTCAATACTTGGTGTAAATACAATTGAAAATCTAGCACCAACGTGCTTCTAAACATTTAGCATTATAACCAGTTTACTATTATAACCTGTTGTTTATTATTTCATCTTTGGCATTATAACCAGTTTACTATTATAACCCGTTGTTTACTATTTCATGTTTGGCATTACAACCATCATAACTTGTTTACTTTTATAACCCGCTGTGTGTTATAACCTGTTTGGTATTATAACACGTGTAGCATAATAATTCCTGTGGTTTGCTACTCGTTTGTTTATAAGCAGTATTGCAAGCTAACCAGATTTGTAACAAAGACGTTTGTCCTCACGGAACATTTCGCATAACTACTTTTTGTTATCATCAGCAATATAGAAATGGGCACTATATTATTATACTCATTTTATATTATAACTATATTATTATGGACTTGTACCCAAAGTGGATTGTGTGTCTATTTGTGATCAGCTGCCGACTGTTCAAGAGGGTTGGTGGAGGTAAACGTGAAAACGATGGACAAGCATGCCTGGTTGTCGGGGGCCTTGTAACAGTGCGTGGAGAAGAACACTGGCCTGCCATGGCAGAAAGAGTTATTCCCCTTGCATCAGAACCCAGCTTTCGCCAGGTTTTTATGGACCATAAATTGTCACACAAAACTATTATCTAGACTCAAGACTGACATGTTGGAATAATGTCATTATGAGCGAGCGATGCTTGTGCACTTAACTTATGGAATGTCAATTGGTATAATTAGGTTACTGATTATGTGTAGTTCCGTTAAAACGGTTAATATGTTCGGAAGAGGGGAATTATTGTCAGACAGGCGAGTCGCTTCGCGAGATATGTTTACAAAGATGCCCTCATGGTTCTAAAACACTGGCAAATAATTGTGTTACATACAAACATACATCCAATGCTAATCGCTGTTGCGCAGGTGTTAACCTTTAAGCACTGAACGCTTCCTCAAATTGCTTGAAATTTGATCGTCTGTTGACACCAGTCTGTCGATTTACGACGTGTGCGGCTGTGTATGGGATAGAAGATCTGGAAATATGTCCTTGTGAAGCTTTTAAATGAAGTCAGATCGACCAACGGATGCTACCGTCTCTCGCCGTGATATGTGTTCTTGGAATTATGGCGCTGCCATGGGCCCTGGGACCACATCGTGTGCATATTCCACCCACCCAAACTGTGCCTTAAACTCCTCTAGTCTGTGTGCACTGATTCCTTTCATGTATACCCTGTCAAATAAATTACCCGTGAAGATCCAGGTTAGAACTGATCTTCAGTAACCCATGCTTGTCGTAAGAGGCGACTAACGGGATCGGGTGGTCAGGATCGCTGACTTGGCTGACACATGTCATCTTATCCGAATGGGGTAGATCGATGCTCATGCTCATCGATGGATTGTCTGGTTCAGTGAGTGAGTTTAGTTTTACGCCGCAATATTCCAGCTATATGGCAGCGGTCTGTAAATCATCGAGTCTGGACCAGACAATCCAGTGATCAACAGCATGAGCATCGATCTGCAGAACCGATGACATGTGTCAACCAAGTCAGCGAGCCTGACCACCTGATCCCGTGATAATTTACAGCTATATATACAGCTATATAAGGATTGACCAGTCAGAGAGCAGACTGAATGTGAGCCAGTATACCGTCATTAAACATCCAAGATGGTTGTAACTGAGGCACGGGGTATAGAACATCGTTATTCGACACTGCATTGTGTTTAAATATCATTCCATGTGATGTACAGGAGCGGAGAGACAGCAATAATCCGAATTTTGGAGTACATGCTTTGTTGTACTAGGTTATTTTCATGTCAGATTCCTCCGGTTCTTTCAATTCAAATGCCACATTCGATCTCCGACAGCCGGAGCCAGTTTGTGTGTACCCAGTTGGTGATATTCTGCTGTAGATAGTTCAGAAACAACTACGGACTGTAGCCCTTGATCACAGGGAAACACGATCACAGATGCTAAAATCATATGACTATTCAACGTGGATACAGATGTTAAATAATTGTTTGTAATTTCACAGGGCATAGGATTCACGCTATTCTCTGAAGTATGGCTTGCACTCCTTTGTTGAGTGAAGCCTCATTAGGGGACCGATATTTGAGAAGATAAAATACATGAAATCCAGTTAAAGGTAAAACATGTCTCATACGAATCTGAAGATGTACGTATCAATAAAAAATGTCGTTACAGCAAAACACTTAAAATTGTAAATTATGCATTAAATGTGACTAAATAATTGAGTGAAGCTATGTTGAGCGGGCGTGGGCGACACACGTATGTTGTGCCCCATTATAGCCGTCTACAGGACCTACATATATAGGGGAGCACTATTACAAAGGGTAAGTAGGCTGCCAGCGTTGGATAGTTCTTGTAAAGGTGTATTAGTTGTCTTGTTACAACATAACAAATAATTGATGCCTCTGTTGTATTTGCTGACACGTTGTTTCTATTTGCGTGGCTTATCATTCGTGCTTCAGTGTACCCGTGAAGGTCCGGGTTAGAATTGGTCTTCAGTAACCCATGTTTTTGTCGTAAAAGGCGACTAACGGGATCGCGTGGTCGGGCTCTCTGACTTGGTTGACACATGTCATCGTATCCCAATTGCGTTGATCGATGCTCGTGCTGGAATTTTGCCGAGTCCGGAGTAAAACTAAACTCACTCAATCACTCATGCTTCAGTTTACAGTCAACCCTGGTTATAATGCCACCGTTTGTCCAAGAGAAAATATGGCATTATATCCAGGATGTCATCATGTAGGACAGTTAGGACAAGCAACAAGGTGATTGAGCTGATGTCTGCTGTAATGAGCCTTGAATGACTTGATAATCCCAGCGTCTGGGGACTGCAGGTGACTTGTTGATGTAGGTGGCAGGAAGTGTATTGTGACATGTGTTAGACCATCTGGGAACATGACTACTTAAAAGCATTAATGAGTTTGGCCAATTAATCTCTGCCATGTCAACTGAACAATTTAGGTATGTATACTACATGTAGCCAGTGTAATTGGCATTATAACCAGGGGAAAATGACATTTGTTCCCAAACCCATTTACAAAAGGCATTATATCCAGTTTGGCATTATAACCAGGGTATTATAAGGGCAGGAAATCCGTTCTGGCAAAACACATGGCATTATAACCAGGGGCATTATAACCAAGGTGCACTGCCTTTGTAGTTATGTCTCGGTAGTTACTTACATTGTACTAGATTCTCCAGGAACCTCAGTGGATTGGGCTTTTGTATCAAGTCTTGTTTTACAGCACTTGTTAACGGGACCATATTGCTTAATGTAATAGCGTTTGGCCTTTGTAATGCATATCTCTGTATCAACGAGATCCTGATAACCGACTGTCCATACTTCCAAACAGATACCGTTAGATGACGTGATCCCGGCTGTAGTCACGGTGTTGTTGGTGTAGATGACCCAGCAATGTATCGCCGCATCGTACCAACAGTCGATAAACGATGGCATTTTGCCTACCTAGCATTCGGCGCACACTGGCCGGAGTCAGACTAATGTAGATAAGATATCCACTGCACCTCTGTCTGCTCTTTCTATAAAAAAAGACGTTTGTCCTGAATACTACAAGCGCACACACGCACACGCACACTCGCTTGGACAGCATCCACTGGTACATGTTAATGTTTCCGTGACCGTTTCCTTCTGGAAAACACATGGAATACCAATGTTGCTTACCATACAGGGTCAGCTTAGTGCAACCCAATAGATCAGTGCAGTGTCCACTGTAAAAATAACAAATACAGGAACATCGAGCAAAAAGCATAGAAACACAGTTTCGAACACCAAAATAGAACACGGTTTCTTGATATGAAGTTTAAGGAAGTACTTTCTGAGATTGGAGTTATTTCCCTTTGTATATTGCAAAGCCGTGTTCACGACAAGCCTGTTGGGGTTTAGACACTTGAGATTGGTCATAGGTGTAGTAAATCTCTCTAAATGAGTGGCTTCGTTCAACGATTGTTATAATGTACGCTGCTGATGTGCATGGCGTGCTGGTGGGTCGGTAACAGTGGAGACGTGGCAGCGTTGCGTTACCATTTGAAGTCGCCAACTTGATAGTCAAGATAACGTGATAAAATTCAGCAAGCAACACTCCCTCCTTTAGTTGGGACCGTCAACAGTAACGGCGATGAGAGTTGTGACCCGACCATTCTTATTCCCTGTACTGTCACGTAGCGCTGTTGCTCCTGTCGTTACGGGGCGGTGGGATAGCCTAGTGGTTAAAGCATTAGCTCGTCACTCCGAAAGCCCGGGTTCGATTCTCCACGTGGGCTTAACATGTAAAGCCCATTTCTGGTGTCCCCGGCCGTGATATTGCTGGAATATTGCTAAAGGCGGCGTAAAACCAAACTCGCTCGCTCCTAGTTGGATATATGTAGAAGTAAGGGGAGATAATTTGTTCTTTTAAACTAATACCAGGTTTAACATGTCTTCTATAAGGTACATTTTGCAATTAGAGGATATAGGTTGGTCATATCATTTCATGACCTAAATTTACATATCTCTAATTTATGTGAACGAAATTGGACTTAACAAAATATACACAAGAGATGTTTATGGCCAAATAACCATAATCATCTGTACCCAACAAAGATTTCAAACTAGAATAAATATAGAAACCACTTCTTCCAGACAGTTGTGTGTATCTCATTATGCCATGCCGTGTAGGTGAAGATAAACCAATAATACTGGCCGCTGATGACAGTTCAGCTTTTTGTTTCATTTAAAAAAATAAATCAGTCATAAAATAGTTTTTGTTTAGCTTTTCGAGATTTGGCACCATCAAACCTTCCTTGAATTGTTGCACGTACACATCTCAACGTCCATTACTGTACGTCATAGCTAGCTGGCGTGGGAGCGTTGACGTCACAGACGTTAAGCGTCACCTGTATGAGAACATACATCTTTTCGTTTTGTCTGTGTTTGATCGTAAGTAACGAATATGATTTTGTTGTTTCAGCAAGCGGGCGTCTTCGTTACAAGGCTCGCAACATGATCGGGGCCACAGGAAGCCGTCATGTCTCCCAGCGGCGGCGTGCCTCCATTGTGTCCGGGAGCACCCCCTATCCCTCACTGTTCGGCCACATGGAACAGCTCTCGGAAGAGCCCGCCCCTAGGGTGGCGAGGCGCAGGGCTGTGGATACCTCAGATTTGCGCACATGCGCACTACTACAGGGGAAGCTGAAAGAGCTAAAGACCTACCCAGAGTGAGTTATCTTTCCTTACCTGCCTCACTTGTTGAATTTTTCTCGTCATCAGATATAAAGTAAATGAACGTATTCATGTACATTAGATTAATACAAGTCGAAAATGCAGAACCCTGAACCAGTCTTTTAAAAGCATGACTGCAGACAATGGATATGGTAAAGCTGTCACTTTGGGACGTTTCAAAGCGGATGCTCCGTTAATACTTTTTAATAAGGCATAAGGCGGCATTTTTATTTTCTGTGTTTCTCATCGCCCGACTGACCCTTCTAATTTTTTATTGCCGACCCCCAAAAAACCCAACAAAGAAAAAGAAAAAGAAAAAAACCCTCCTTTTTATCATTCCAACACCGCCGACTCACTTAAAATGTTTATCCTGTTATCAGTCGTTGCCACAAGTCCAAAGAACGCGAGAAATTATAATAAAAATTACAATAAGTGAAAATCAAGAACATTATGCAGATAATTTTGTCTTTTTTTCCCGACCGACCGACCGACCCATGTTCAGAATTTGGTGGCTACGTGAAACACATAAAACAATTATGCCCATACTGGCGACAGCCAGGATGGGTGCTCAGACGCCGCACAAAAAGAAGCACTCCGTATTTACGTATAACTTCTGGAATTCTCCCCAATGAATGAGTTAATATAGCGCAGTGGTGTGTAATCTATGTACAGTGATGGACGTTGTGTTGTGTGTGCATTGTTCCCAGCCGAAAATGTTTATTTCAGTCTAACGGTATACACAGATGACATATGGTGTATTGCACATGACCCGGGAATGGATTACCAATATCAACGTCATGTGCCACTACACCATGTGTAACCAACCAATCACCAAAGGAGGTAGTCCCATTGTATCATGCAGTTACCATGTCAAATTAGTATCTGTGATCTATCGTTGCTGCGTGCAGGGCGCTCCCGTTTGCTCGAACTCCGCTTGTATCGAAGCATGCCCATACTGCCCGTTAACTTCCTGTGTGTGTTCACGAGGTGTGGTTTGGAGATGTCACTTGCCCGTAATAATTACATATGTTTCGCAAGCGGAATTGGAGGAAACGCGAGCTAACTGCATAATATTTATTGATTATACCTTTTTCGATTCATTTCATTGTATGAATATTTTATTTCTTGTATTATTGTTTTAAGACAAGTACAGACGGAACCTTGTAGACGGGTATTATTGTTTGAATATAAACACACGCGATGACAGTGTTTGTGTGAGAATGTATCACCGCGATATGTCGGGCCGGTTCACTGGTCATTGCTATCAGCGTTGTTGCCTGTTGATGAACTAATTGAAACGCGAAGGTTATACTATAGGAATCGGAATCTACTGAAGTAAGTTTCGAAATCTGTCAACGACCTCACAGCTTTAATACAGTCATTAAAAGCATAATAAAGGGGAAAATATGTGAAAGCAAAAATAACTAAGGTGGTCTCTAAGTCTGTGCACTCACGAATCTTGAGAATTTGTTAGTCGAATGTTCGTCTTCCATTCTTCCGTCGCGGAAACGGTGTGATATGTTGGAGCAGGCAGTAAGTCGATGTTTTTCGATACACTGGACAAGTTCATAAGAAAAATGTCGGGTCGGAAAGTGTCCAACTGTTCGTCTCGCTTTTACTAACGTTTCTAGAAGAATAGCTTCTTGAATGAGGATCGAAGAGAATCGACAATTGTAAACAAACTCCTTCCAGCGAAACACTTTTCAACAGGAGAGTTACGTAAGTGCCAAGCGCTGGGTCGGAGATCGAACTGTAAACAGCTACGGGAGATCACTCTAAATTTTACAAGCTGCTGTTAGCTTGCCATTGTATGAAAACCTAGAAACAACGGCTATGGCGTTCTCTGAGTGTTTGATTTGCTGCCATTTACAATCATTTCTCATATATCTATGATGTATCGATTGCATAATACATGACAGCACTGCGTTCCTCAAAAGGGATGTTGATACATATTCATCGTTCAATAGAAAACGTTAAGTATCTAGGGACATGCAAGGAGCCGTTTTCTGACCCCGGGACTTTTAGTTGCTTGCACCCAAGAGGTTGAAATGTTACATTGAAGATTCTGATGAACCGCATTTTCTCGAAACTTTTATGATCCATTTTGAGTGAATCACTGAGTGAGTTTGGTACAACGCCGCTTTTAGCAATATTCCAGCAATATCACGGCGGGGGACACCAGAAATCGGCTGATCCGCTATGAACAAACTTCGCCATTAGAGTCATTTTAGAAGTATGTGTCGCTACATACAACGTTGAATGAGTTATGAACCTCACATTTCACCCGAATACTTTGCCTGTTCTGATGGTGGTGATGTCAAATACTTTGCGGTTCTTCAAGTGTCCCTAACAGCACACATATGTACTACAGCACAGAAATTGGTATCCTTCCACTGTGCTGTACTTCTATCTTTATTTATATGGATTTTGGGGTTTAAATCCTTTTCTGCAAGTACTTGATCGCTACACGTTCCTTAGCTTTATCCTTTATCCGAAGGTCATCGACCCCAACTTATGTTACTCAACTGACGACTTTCTTTCTATACTTCCTTTCAAAAGTTAGACTCACTGAAAACACTCACTATATGTTATGGATTATATATGGTTACATCGAAGATTGATTCCTCACTAACTCGGGGAACCAACTGCAAACCTTATGCAGATGAATTGCACGAGTATCTTGCATCAAATTGCGGAAAAGCATGTGCAAATATCGTGCATGTAAACAGCTACGCTTTGGTATAGTAAGGGTTTGTTAAGAATTCGCCAATTTTCACTGATTTTGATCATTTATTGAACTCATGACAGTAATCTTGTCAACGTTACGAATTTCGTTTTACAATACATAAGTTCATGTGTAAACAGTACCTTTAAACAGTATGGAATATTTTGCAAAATTTAGTTCAGAACAGTTTCCCGAAGTAAGTGGCTATATTTACACTGGTGGGTCTAAACTTTTGATGGGAAGTATATATCTCTTTGACATCACGTGATGGGAAGTATGTATCTCTTTGACATCACGTGATGGGAAGTATATATCTCTTAGATTTCACGTGCTGGGAAGTATATATCTCTTTGACATCACGTGATGGCTGCAACAAACAAGTCACCAATTTCCCTTTTGTGTGAGGCTCACAACTTATCAATCAACCCCGTATGTTCTGATTTGAATTGCTGCATGCTGACTAGTTACTCTGCCCGCGCTTCCAAGCTGCTACGGTTCTGCTGTAACGTTCCAGTATTTTGTGGCCGGAGACTCGGAGTCTGATGCCGCCGCAGAGCATGCGCAGAAAATCAATACTCCCGGACAAAACTCGGCATTAATATTTTATCCTTTTTGCAAGAATGGCTGCTTCTGTCTATTGATATCCCCAGCCAGCCTGTGAACCCAGGCAGCAACTGGCTACACGTGTAGGTTATGTCAAGTGTATGGATGCTGTGTGGTATCTAGATGTCTCGCGTTCGATGACGTCTATGAAGATAGGTTGATGAGACTGGTCGTTTTGGTGAACCAGCTGTAATGTGATACAGTTCTGTAGCTCGCCTCCTGATGCATAGATGAGATCGGTGCGCATGATAGACATCACATGTGCAGCAGACCGACATTTTGGATACTGCCATTAACATGATTGCATATTTTATCTCTTTGAATTGTACGTCAATATGTCGTATACAGTCGCGGGCATTCTCCGGGTTTTGACGTCACGGAATCGCTGCTCTCCCCAGATTTAGACACTGTATTGTTTTTAGATAAAACGTTATAGTTTGATTTAGAATTACAAAATGACATTTTAATGGTAGGTAGAAATAATGTCGGATTTCCGACACGTGCATATTGCCATTTACTAGGATGCTGTACATTCAGCATGCGTAGGTTCAGCTGTCTAGTGAAGTTGATAAACACGTGCACACACTGTGTTACCCTCATATCATAGTGGTGGATAAGCCTGATGGTTAATGCGTTTGCCAGTTACGCAGAAGACCTGGGTTCAATTCCCCACATGGGTATAATGTGTGAATATCATTAAAGGCAATGTAAGGCCTTACTCCTTACTCCAGTGTAACTTTCATTCCAGCGGAGGTTCAACTGTCTCATGCAGCATGCATAGGTTGAAATGTCTGGTGTAGCTTGCATATCGACAGAGGTTAAAGTGTCTGGTCTAGCTTGCATATCGACAGAGGTTGACGTGTCTGGTCTCAGCTTGCATATCGACAGAGGTTAAAGGGTCTGGTGTAGCTTGTATATCGTCAGAGGTTAAAATGTCTGGTGTAGCTTGTACATCGATAGAGGTTGACGTGTCTGGTCTAGCTTGCATATCGACAAAGGTTAAAGTGTCTGGTCTAGCGTGCATATCGACAGAGGTTAAAATGTCTTGTGTAGCTTGCATATCGACAGAGGTTGACGTGTCTGATGTAGCTTGCATATCAATATATGTTGAACTGTCTAGTGTAGCTTGTATATCGCCAGAGGTTAAAGTGTCTGGTGTAGCTTGCATATTGACAGAGGTTAAAGTGTCTGGTCTAGCTTGCATATCGACAGAGGTTAAAATGTCTGGTCTAGCTTGCATATCGACAAAGGATAAAGTATCTGGTCTAGCGTGCTTATCGACAGAGGTTAAAATGTCTTGTGTAGCTTGCATATCGACAGAGGTTAAAGTGTCTGGTCTAGCTTGCATATCGACAAAGGATAAAGTATCTGGTCTAGCGTGCATATCGACAGAGGTTAAAATGTCTTGTGTAGCGTGCATATCGACAGAGGTTAAAGTGTCTGATGTAGCTTGCATATCGACAGGGGTTAAAATGTCTGGTGTAGCTTGTATATCGACAGAGGTTAAAGTGTCTGGTCTAGCTTGCATATTGACAGAGGTTAAAATGTCTGGTGTAGCTTGTATATCGACAGAGGTTGACATGTCTGGTGTAGCTTGTATATCGACAGAGGTTAAAGTGCCTGGTGAAGCTTGCATATCGACAGAGGGTGACGTTTCTGGTCTCGCTT